CTGTCTATCGAACTGTTGTTCTTTCAACGTTGCTCTATGGAATGTGAATGCTGGACCCTGTATCGCCGACAAATAAAACTGCTTGAAACATTCCACATCCGCTGCCTTCAGCGAATATTGCGCGTTACTTGGAGGGATAAAATCCCCAACATCTACGTTCTTCACCGTTCGGAGGTCGTCAGCATCGATGCCATCATCCGACAAAGCCTTCTAAGTTGAGCTGGACATGTTGCGCGGATGTCAAGCAGGCGCCTCGCAAAAATTGTATTCTTCGGAGAGCTCGAAACCGACAGCCGCCCACGAGGAAGCCCAAAGAAACGATTTCGAGACTACCTTAAGCGTACTCTTGCCTCATGCAATATTGACCAAACACAATTAGAGAACCTCACAAGACATCAGATCGGCTGGCGATCACTGCGTAGCCGGAGTGGCGCACTACGAAGAGGAGAGACGAGGAACGCTCGAGTTGAGGCTTACACCAGCGTCATCTGCAGCCTATCAATTCCGCAACGGGCATGTTTCTCTGCAACCTGTGCGTTAAAACTTGTCGTTCGCGGATCGGCCTCTATCTCATTTGACATTCCGACAGAAGTCGGACGGAGATGAAAAGACAGACAGCCTAATATATATATATATATATATATATATATATATATATATATATATATATATATATATATATATATATATATATATATATATATATATATATATTTATGGAAAACTAGGTAATCCGTATGGGTAGACCCAAGGAGGATAAAATCCAGAGAGCTCAATGTAAATCCAGAGCAAATAGTTTAAATAAAAAACAGACCACTTTAAGGTTCCATGTAATAAATTATTTCACCACAGCCCTTTTAAAGGACTGCGGATCATCAGACTTTACTTACAAAGATTGAAACGAAAAAAAAAAAATATATTTATATATATATTCATGAATTATTCATACAAAAAACAAATACAAAGATTAATGATTTAATTGGCGAGAAATCCATCGTCACGAACAATTCAAATAATATACAAAAAACCCCTGAACCTGTTTATGCATGAAAAAGATCCTTGTTTCTATAAATTTCTGTTGCATGAGTTCTTGTTTTTTACAAGCTTTCGTCTCTTCATACAGACATCCTCAGGTATGGAATAGATTTTGTTCTTGTTTTTTTTCTCTCAGTAATAAGAGGACACCGAAAATATATGTACTGTTGTAATCCGAAAAATGCTATTAGAAATGAGTTATTGTTTTTGGAGCGTGCTGTCGCAACGCTGAGTTTGAATTTAAATTTTACAATTGTGCGTTCTTATACAAATACGGTGATAAGCGAATCCTTTTTTTCTGGTAAATTTTCTGTTAAAGTGGCATGAACTCTATTGTTCAATAATTACAGTAATGTCGCACTTATTATCCAAAAGTTGCATTTGGATCAGTTATTTTAATTTCAATAAAGGTGCAATTAATTTAAAAATTCATGAATTATTCATACAAAAAACAAATACAAAGGTTAATGATTATTTGAATTGTTTGCGACGATGGATTTCTCGCCAATTAAATCATTAACTTTTGTATTTGTTTTTGTATGAATAATTCATGAATTTGTAAATTAATTGCACCTTTATTGAAATATATATATATATGTGTATATGTATGCATTTATATTTATACATATATATATATATATATATATATATATATATATATATATATATATATATATTGTTAAATATAAAAGACAATGAATGTTTATTATGTCTGATATTAAGCCGTGCTAATGTTCGTATATTTGCTTTAATTTGGGGTGAAAATAAAGACAAAAATTGTCCAACATTTAGTTATTTTTTTAAGTTCGCCCTTGATCTAAGCTTTTGGCTCACATGAGCCATCTTTAGAGTAGTCATACGGATATTTTAACAAAGATTTTAACCATCAAAGAGATTTATTTTGCTATATTGACATAGAAGAATGGTATGCGACGATAACGGTCGCGGAACAACAAAATATTATCTTCGATTGTGAATAACTTTGTTAAAATTTCTGTATAACCACTCTAAAGATGGCTCATGTGAGGCGAAAGGTGAGATCAAGGACCAATTTAATAACAGAATATCCAAATTTTGGACAATTGTTGTCTTTATATTCTCCAGAAATTAAAACAAATACACGGAGTTTGGAATGACCCGTGATCAGACATAATAGACATTCATTGTGTTATATTTAATGATCTCCTGCTGCAATGCACTATATATATATATATATATATATATATATATATATATATATATATATATATATATATATATATTAATAGTCTGTTTCATGGGATAGTCTGTTTCAAGCCGTTCTGTATGCGGCTGTCATTAACCAGAAGTGCCTGTCTCGGTTCATTGTTTTTGATTTATTTTCAAGGTCAGTCATCCTCTGGTAGACGCCTTGTTAATGAGAATGGGTTTTTGTTAGCGACTGGTGGGGCGTAAGGTATCTTATCCTTTGGGTAGCGGTCTGGGTCTGGAGTTTATTTGTGGCTAGAATCTTTTTGTTGTTTGTAGCTTAATATCAAAAAATATCTATGAATATAATTTCTCACACTACCACAAAATCCCAACGGATAAAATAACAGAGGGACACAAACTAGATAAATACAATTGTAGGATGTCAGAAATAGACACAGAGTCCACCGAAATAGCTAAGAAGTTAGATATTGCATTTTTCTAACTGACCTCCCGCCCCGGAGACAACAAATTACAAACAGGAAACCTTCAACCTAAGGACCCCAAAAAACTCCACCACCCTGTAAATTCCTGCATCCTTTCGAAAGGAAATTGTTCGACATAGTTAAAAAAAATGAAGTTTAACAAGCTATCCGATCATTTCCAAAAAAGAACTACACAAGGATATAAAAACGATTAGAAACTCCAAAATATTTGGGTCAGAGACGACAAATCAAAAAAACATTTATAAATGGAAGTGGGAATAATAGATATTTTCATGCTTCTACGGCAGTTTTCATGTAGTTTGGGGCCATTTTGTACTGGCCAGAGTGAGAGCCAATAGCTGGCTGCCACGAATAGGCAGGAAGATTCTATTGGCCAGCGTGAGGGCCAAAAGCTGACTGACACGAATGTTAACTAGCATGCTAGCATGCAAAAAAGTCGATAGCTGCATTCGTCACAAGTGGGAAAAATTTAAATCTGCATGGCACTTTACTCCAATTGACTCATTCGCTTGCTTAAACTCAACGTTGATTCTGATTCCGAAGAACTGGGTTTGGTGTGAAAAAGTATTTGTTGTTAACATTTTTTTGTTCCTTCGGTTTTTCCAGTTACGAGTTCTTTTTTTTAAAGCTGATCGTTTTGTGTTCATTTTGTTTAGTTCTTTTTTCGTAACAGATTTAATGTTTAGTATAGAGCTTAGAAAAAATTTGCAGTGTGAGATAGGCAAGAAGTAAGGCATGTAGCAACATCAGAACGGCAAAGGGCACTCCTTTAAAGGCAAGGAAGGGCAAAAATATTTTAGGTCAAGTGATAGCGATTGCTGTATGAGTCGTACGATTTTTGAATCAAGCACAGGCAACGCCGGGACATACTGCTAGTAATATACACACACATATATATATATATATATATATATATATATATATATATATATATATATATATATATATGTATGTATGTATGTACGTATTGTTGTCCCCTCTGAACTTTTCTTCCCAACAATCACCCTCCAGTCCAACTCGTCAAATGCTTTGAAAAATGTTCCGTTAAATTATTGGTAAGAAAGTATATACTGGCCCAAGGCGCAACTGTTTAAAATTATCTGTCTGCCGAAAAAGTGTCGATTTTTGTCACTTCTATTTACAGCTTGATGTATATCGTTTGAACAGGCCGCAGTGTTTTCCATTCATATTTCATGACGTTCATATCAGACTTGACTGACTTTTTATTCTGCTTGTTAGAAGGCTTTTGCCCGCAAGAGACCGAAATTCCAACGAAAACCGATTTATTTCTCTTTGTATTTATTTACGTATTCTTACTTATATTTACCCTTTATCTCTTCTCTTTTTCCATTCGTTTTTTTTTACCCTGATCCAGTTGTTTACCAGCCGTTTAGGTGTATCTCGTTCAGCAGAATTATCTTTATCTGACCTCTTCAAAGATTTTAATCTCGTTTTCGTTATTTTTTATTTACCTAAATTATTTTGTTTTTATTTTACGGTGTTACGTTGACCATTGTATTTAGTTTCTAATTTTACTTTTTCGATATTATCCTTCTTTTTTTCTTTTTTTTTTTTCTTTTTTTGGCTTTAATTCTTCTCTGACGTAACACTTGATTTTTCCAAACCTATTTTTCAATCATTTAAATTTTCTTTCTTTTTCTTTTCTTTCTTTTTTTTTTCTTTTTCTCTTCATTCTTTTTCTATCTTCTACAAAGTGCTCTTTCGTCTTTCATTTTTTTGTTCTGAATTTTACTACATTTTTTGTCCGCTTTCTTTCACAATAATTACTTTTACTTTTGAAAAAAAGAGGATCCCCCCCCAACTCTTCATTCACGAGCAATTCGGCGTGATCTATCGGTTAGCAAGCTTGTCTTGTAAGGTATTAACCTACGACTGAATAGTGAGTTTGATTCCTGCTTCGGGCTCTATGTATTTGTGAAAACAATCAAGCTGCCCTCGCTAAAATCGCCCCATATTTCATTCATTTGTTTGTTATTTTTTTCATTCTTTTTCATTCATTTTTTTCGTTCAATTTCAATCTTTCTCCCTCAGTGATGTCTCTGTTGTGCTGATTTATTTTCGTGTAATATTTTCTTTTCATATTTTTAGTTTAAAAATTTGTTCCGCGATCCTTTGATGTTCTTTACTTATTATATACTTCTGCTCATCCTTGCAACTGTTTTGCTTTCTTTTTTCTTTCATTCTTTCTTTCAGTTTTAAGATCTTTCTTCTCAGTTCACCTTTGTTTCATTTCTTTTTTCTGTTATTTTTCTTGTTCACATTTGCTCTCTTTCCGTTAGAAAAAAAACCTTCACATTTTGATATTCATTTTAATTTATTCCTTCCTAACAACATTCTTATTCTTTCTTTCTTTTTCTTTCTTTTTATTTCTTTCTTTTTTCTTTCGTCTATTTAATTATTCTCTCAGCTTTATGATCGTTTGTGCTAGTACAGTCACTGAATTTTTTTTGATTTCTTTTATTATCAAATTTGTTCTCTTTCCGTTAGAAGACACCCTCTCACTATAATATTTATTCTTACATCTTTCCTTCTTACCATCAGTCTTATCCTTTCTTTCTTTCTTTCTTTCTTTCTTTCTTTCTTTCTTCTCATTTGTCTCCATTAACAATAAACAGCCAATCTGATTTAATTATGGCTATGCAAAATGGAACAAAGTATTGTGACTGAGGGCATGTTTAGATTTATTTCATTCGGTTGGGTAGTGTAAATTGAGTCAATTTTATGAGGCCGTAAATTAGTGAGAGAAACTAACGCCGAGCCATTCAGGAACAAAAATCTCTGACCAGCAACACCATAATTGTAGTAGGGACCTAAAATCATTTTAGAGCTGACGAGTTACCATTTCTGTCAGCATGCACGTTATAAATTAAGTCTCACTCGCCTATTATAAATTGTTTTAAAATCACAAAAGGCTAACGAATACTGACAACAATATGGCAGTCATCACGGAAACTTGAATGAAAGTTTTAAAGTCGAATATTGAGTCACCGGATATACTTTTTGGTGTAAATGGTGTTCGGGGGCAGTAAGGTGGCTTGTATCGTGCCTGATGATAAGACGAGACTTGAAACTTTATTATTTAATATTCTTTTCATGACAATATTTCGTAAGTTATTATCAGCCGGCCTGGGGTGATAGACCTTATATTTTTCGTCTGTGAGAGACTGATCCGTCTGTTGTTTATATGACTATCCACCCCAAATTGTTCTTCACAAGTTTGTAATACCGGATGCAGTTGTTAGGTAAATGTCATACCTGAACGTACCTATTCTATTATTAATAGACTCTCCCACACATAATAAGTAGTAGTAGTAGCGGTCACCAGTTGGGTTCAGTGGTGTTGAGCGAGTCAGTCGATGTAGGACATTGAAGTATCAACCATCACAACTAGATTGCTGCGTCATTAACTTTTATTTCAAGTTCCTAACGTTTTTGTACGTCGGACTCTTTTAGGACAGACTTAGTGAAATACAAGCCTCCACTGTGAAAACTACTCTACAACACATTGGCGACGAGGAATTCGTTTCTCACAAGGGAAAAGAATAAATTTGCGTTTACTTTACAACAGTAACGTACTTCTTCAATTCATGTTTTGGTCAGTTCCAGAACAATCCTCTGGCGCATGCGCCTTCCCGAATGTCTTATGTGATTTGCATACAAAGTAGATTCAGATAATAGAGAAGAGGAGTAAAGGAAAAACAAATAAATTAATAAAATAAAACAAAGGATTTGCATGTAACAAAGCATGCGAGAAATAATTTAGAATCCATTTTTAGAAATCTGATGAAGGCTCCTTATGGATAGACGAAACGTTAGCAAAAATGGTTTCTTTCTGGATTAAGTGCATCGATTGAATAGAAAGATGATATCTTCAAGGCAAAACTGAAATGCAAAAAAGATGGAAACGAAGGAAAAAAAATAAGGTAAAAAAAAATTCTAAAAATCCCCACATTCAAGTTCTTTTTTTAATAGAAATAAGGACTGGTTAATAGAATTTCTTTGAAGTTTAAAAAAATAGAAGCTTTGTAGTATTTAAAAAAATGTTTTCTTTAAAATTAAGGGCAATCGCTTTGGATTTGTGGAATGATAGGGGATGGTTTCTGTGTCGTCGTGTAGGCTAGGCCGCTGCATTTCGTGGGCGGTTATATATCTTTTTCGAAATGCTTCGTTTTCCAAGTCTCTGTAGAATTCTGAAGGTGGTGGCTTAAGTAAATGAAATTGGTAGATAAGAAGCCGAAATTTCTATTTGAATGAAAAAAAAAACGTAAAGACAAAATGACTAGTGGAAATAAGTATGTAGGCGGACGAGAGGTAACTTGGCAAAGAATGATAAAAACTGAGAAAAGAAATTGATTGAATGAAAAGAAACAATAGGAAACGTAAAAGTGAGTTTTTTAAAAAAAAAGAAATCGCATGAAAAGCAGGCATAAATGAAAAAACGGAAAAATTCAGGTGGCATAAAAATTTGATGAAAATAAAAAAAAAGGAATAAAAAAATTGCTTTTGTCTTAACTTCACCTTTTTGTCCTTTATTCGAGATAATTAGATATAGTTCCCTGAATAGGGTGGGTAAAAGTGATTTAAAATATATTTTAAATTTTCTAACCCAATGAGAAATGTCGGACTAAGAGGTCTATTTGAAAGGTAGCCAGCTATGTATAACTAATATTAACGTAGCCAAAATATGTAAATGACTGAACACCCGCAAACTTACAATAGTCACTTCGAACCTCACACATTTCTCTCGAGATATCTGGCACGTTTCAAAATCATTTTCCATGGGTCACTTCCGGGATATCTCACAACTGCGTCGTCTAAAGATTTTCAGGATGATTTTCCTTTTGAAAAACACCAGAGGAGAATAATCTAGCGTTTACTGGGATTACAGATCTACGTGATAAAATATTTTTGTATAAAAGATAAGGATATAGAATAGGCTGCGATTTCTAGATACATACAACCGCTTTTACAAAATCAATGAATAATGTATTTTCGAGCGAATTTAGCCTGTCTGAGAGAAGGCTCTCCCATTTTGAATTCCGTCACCTGGCGCTACAGATTCACACAGATATGAACCAATAACACATTCAAGAACTGCAATACGCGGCTGGCATCCCACTTTCACCCTTTCACTGTCGAAAATGTTAAATGTAGCCGTCTCTTCTACTCCAATGGGTTCATACCTCGCACTTCTCGCCTGTGGAACTCCCTTCCCTTTTCCTGTTTCCCTGATAGCTATAATCTCCAAATATTCAAATGTAATGTCAATAGACATCTCCACTTGCCTTGATCTATCCACTATCCTTCTCTTCATCCTTTCCTCTATCACTTCTATTTGCTCTCCCTCCAAATCCTATGTAACCCCTTTACGTGCTAGTGGCTTCCAGCCTTGTTTGGGGTGAAATGCTTAAAAAAAAATGAAATGAACAGCACATGTAAATCCAACAGAATATAACGACTAAAGGATAAGAAGTTAGCCCCAATCAGTATTAAAAATAACGATAACCGTTCGTACATTTGAGAAACCTATTCCATTGAAGTATTAATATACAGCGTGTTAGCACCAACATTATTATTATTATTATTATTATTACTATTACTATTATTATTATTATTATTATTATAACAAGTTCACATATCCAAACTTCAAGTCGACCCATTTGAGTGTAGAGTTTTTACGCTGGCTCATGCTTTCGAATTAATCATATGAAATTCTCCCGAAAAGTTTTTGTTTAACCATTCTAAAATGAGATCGCAATTTCCTTGAAAAAAAGATGTTTTCCCTTCCCGAAAACTAAAATTCATCTAATATACAATAGACACAACTAAATACTTACTACTTACTCGAAAATTGGTCACTCCTAAAAGACCTGTTAATCATCTCGATACTTATTTCTAAAACCGCCACAACAAATTCTGTGACGAAACAAATTCCATGTGCTCAGTGAAGAATATCAAAAATTCCCGAAGATCGACACACACCAATATCTTTAAAAGCAATCAATTTCAATACCGATACTCTTTCAAAAATTCCGAACACACTGGAAAACAAGGCTGTAATAAATGTATCATATTTAAAGTTTTCTCTAGGTGAGATTTGTATTGAATTTTTGCCCAAGTACTAGAACTTTTGACAAAAATAAATTAGTTTCAGTTTATTTTTCCCTCTTCACAAGCTGAAGAAATATTTTTTCAGAAAAAAATGATAGCGAAAATTCTACAAAAATTACAAGCGAAGACAAAGATAGCGATCGAATCTAGCATAATTGAATTAATAAAAATCAGTCCTGTTTTCCAGAGGTAGTTCGGGACGGATGCTCAGAGTCGTTACTGGAATTTTTGGAAATTTGGCAGGTCTAAGAGAAAGCATAGAATCAAACCATAGTAAAACCAAGAACAATATTACCACTTTGTAAATGAATTGTTCTTCGTCGTCTCACCAATGATTAGATTGTCATAAGAATTGCAAACAAAGTGGGGTGGTATTGTTATTATGAATAAGGAAAACTATATTTCGGCTACTGAAGAAGTTATAAGGGACAAAAGTTTTTTAATGAAGAAATAAAAATAGACCCGATCCCTTATTAGAGAAAAAAGCTAGACAAGTTCTGAAATTAAAGGAAAGAGTTAGACTAATGAAACAGTCTAACATATTACGTTGGGAGCAAAGAACACCAATGTTTTACGGCCTTTCAAAAATACATGAAAAAGTGATAAATTTCCTCCACTACACTCGACTTGTAGTGGATATGAATGTTATGCGGCAAAGACCGTTTTTTTTTTTTTTGTGGGGGTGGGGTTATATCCCCTATAGTAAAACGGTCTTCGTTTTATGTCCGGGATATATTTGAGTTTATTTCTAAAATAAATTTTCAGAACAAAAAAACGGTTTTTCTGATTGCATTTTCATCAGCATCGATGCCTCGTCTCTTTATCATAATATTTCCCACAATGCAACAAAGCTTTTGAGAAACGCAATGACAAAAACATTCCGTCGAAATTTCTCTGTAGACTTATACGTTTTATCTTGGAACGCAACACGATGAAGCTTAGGAAAAGGTTTTTCCACCAAATCAGAGGATATGCAATGGAGACTCCTATGTCTGTCTATATTTCTGAGATGAGGTATTATGTACAGTATTTACATTAGTCGGACTACTGTCCTCATCTTTGTCACCATATTTGTCACAACGTTTCAGCCGTTGTACGCTCCGGCCTTCTTCAGGTGGTTGGAATTTCGAACTGAACTCTTTATTTCGATTACTGGGGTAGACTGTTCTAGTTTCACGTGCCATGGCACAGTGGATAAAGGCGTTGGTTAGATCCAGTGACAGACCCAAAGAGTGTGAGTTCAATACCCGGTTAAGGCAGTGGAGAACTTTCAGAGGGAAAATTAGCAGGAGATAACTGATAACTGACATCCATCAAACATGGCACGTGGAACTAGAACAGTCTACCCCAGTGAGCGAAATAAAGGGTTCAGTTCGAAATTCCAACCACCTCAAGAAGGCCGGGGCGTACAACGGCCGAAACGTTGTGACAAATATGGCGACAAAGATGAGGACAATAGTCCGACTAATGTAAATACTGGAGACTCCTATGTTCGTAAACTCTGTTCGAATGTCTTTATGGCAAATTTCGAAGACAAATTACTTGAAGTTGTAAACCAGAATTTTGACTGCAATTTGTTGATGAGATATTCTTTATCTCGGAAGAGAAGCGGGAAACTAAAAATTCTACAATTTTGTGACATTTTTTGCACGAAAGAATAATTTTCGATCACAAATAAAATTCAAATCTAGTTTCACCAAAGCTTGTGTAGATTTTTTTGGCACTAGAGTAAAGTTCTCAAGGAATCGTCCAATGGCCGAATTATTTTGCAAACAACGTCATCACACATTTACCTAAACCGCCATTCTGATCTTCCTTATCACTGATCAAACACGAAGTGCCGATTTTTGCGCATAAGGCGAATTTTCAAAGAGATAAAAGATTATTGGGAGCAGCCTAATAATTGCATCCGGCATTTATGTTAAACGCGGCTCTCAAGAATCGCGACTGAAACAAATTGCGAAGTAATGAAGATTACAATAATTTTATACCAAGACAAAAGCCAGAAAAACACAATAAAAATTATGGCAAAATCCCATTAATCATCAACAGGCACCGAAATTTTGCAGGAATTTCGAAAATGCGACATGACATCTATGAGCACATTGAGCAAAAATAACCGCGTTTTTAAGAGATTTTTCCAAACCCGCTTATAGTTTCTTTCAAAACAAATAAAAACATCAGACACATTTTAACAAATGTAAGAGTCCACACTCAAAAGAACATTGGAGATTCGAGTCATTCTCCTCCCGAAAACACTAATATTAGGTTGGTGCAAAAATAATGTCGTTTTTGACGTATTTTTTAACTTTAAAAAACGACATTATTACGTCATTATTTTTGCACCAACCTAATAGAAGAGGGAAACCCTGTGCGTTGTGCAGCAATATCATTCATATTAATTCTATCACAATTTCAAAGAGAAAAATCACGAGTTCTACAGAGGATGGTAATTGTATTGATTCCCATTTAATATACGCCGTCCAATGTACCAAACATGACTTGATTTATGTGGGTTGCACAAATGGAAAAATTAAATAAAAGATTCAATGGACACAGGCATGATGTGAGAAACAATAATGCGATATCAATGGAACTTGCAGAACATTTTATTACAAATGACTATAATTTCGACAAGCATCTTAAGATGCACATTCTGAAAAAATATTCAGGATCTACCAACAAGCCTCCCCTTAAAACGCAAGTGGATAGTTACGTAAGCAGATTATTAACTTCTAGGTCCGGAAAAATGAACAGAATGAGAGAAGAGTTCCATAAAAATTATACTAAGCTGTTTATACTAATATCTTCTTAGTAACTAATCAACTAACGGAAAAATTCAAGATGAACAAGATCGCCATTATATCAAGCCCGTTTCAATTGCATACCTTCACGCGGGCGACGTTACATTCGTTTTGACGCAATCATTATCTGTACAGCCATTTTTCATTACAAGAAAAGCAACTTATTTTTCTTCTCCCTCTCTTATCAAGAGAGCCTCTTGTTTTTATCGGAAGACAGAATACAGTGATTACACTTAATTTAAGATTAATGGATAGGTCCTACTAAGATCATTCATTTTAAGTTTTTCGGGGTCATCACCCACAAACCACCAAACTTTCATTGATACCATTTATATATATATTTATTGTTTACACAACTGTACATATTGAAATTTTAAGTCATGGGGTATTTTTCAGTTGGGGCCCTATGTGTGTGAGGTATGTTGGTGCTTGTAGGAGCGAATGGTGACGAACAGATTCTTATGGTGAATGAGAAAACAGTAATGATTGAATGGGTCGTGAATCGGATTAGCTAAGTATAGGATAGTTATTGTCGACCAAACCATCTGCCCACTTTTTTCGGCCTTGTGCCTCAATTACTCTTTTCATTCAGTAATAACTCGAAGACAAGCAACGTTTGTACAAAGACGTATCTTTTTTAGTAAATTCATATATTTTTATTCTTAAAATATTGTTTAAATATAACTGGAAGAAGGCAGACATTCTGTTGAAATATGTTTTAACATTGTCAAACACTGTTTTTTTTTTTCATTTCTTTATCTTTTCTTAAGTCGTGCTCTTCTTGTACCTGTTGAAAAATATTGGAAGATTTACATCAAACACTTTGTTTATTTTTTATTATTATTATTATTATTTTATCTGCTTTTATTTATGGTGGGTACACATTTTTTTCCTGGTCCCACCCAGAGACCTAAGGTTAGAAATGGCAAGACATTTTTCACTAACTAATTAAAAAAAACACACACATTTTACATAGATAAAGCCCTTCGTACGGTGGGGGCCGTACTCGTGAGAACAATTCTTTTTGTATTTCTTTAAGGCATGGGCTTCCAAGAATCCCTTCAATTAGTCTGCTGGAATCTTTTCCAACCAATCCGATGGCTCCAACTACAACAGGAATTGTTGATGTTCCCATGTGCCATATTTTTTAGATTTCGATTTCAAAGTCCTTGTATTTTGATAGCTTTTTGAAGATCTTCAAAGACACATTGCAGTCTGCGAGGACTGCCATATCCATAAGGATGCAAATTACTACTATTTTTATTCCTATTATTATTATTATTATTATTTTTATTTTCTTTGATTACTGGCGTTTACACATTTCTTTCCGGGTCCCGCCCAGAGACCTAAGGTTAGAAATGGCATCATGACACTTTCCACTGACAAAAAAAAAAAAAAAAAAAAAAAAAATGACATAAATAAAACCCTTCGTAAAGTGTGTGCTGTACTTGTCAGAACAATTTTTTGTATCTCCTTGAGGCATGGACTTCCAGGAATCCCTTCAATTAGTCTACTGCAATCTTTTCCAAACAGTCCTAAGGCTCCAACGACAACAGGAATTGTTGATGTTCCCATATGCCATATTTTCGAGATTTCTATTTCAAGGTCCTTGTATTTTGACACACTTCGATTTTTCTGCCAGTGATGAGGAACGTACCAGATTAAAGACACAATATATTCCTCAGGATAGAAGCCATTACAAGCAACACTACCACCTGCGATTTCTTAACACTGCCAGGTATTACCACGGCAACACAAATCGTAGAAATATACCGAACAGCAGCTTTTTGTGGTTAGACCACTCGGGACTATTTCCAGTAATCTTTCTGCCTTGCAGACTTTCGCATCAGTTCTTTTATTCCTTTATTCTTTTACTTTCTATTATTTTCTTTCTTTCTCAGTTATTCATTATCATTTTTCTATCTTTTATTTCTATTACACTTTGTTATTCTCACTTCTCTCTCTCTCTCTGTGATTTCTCTTATCATTTTGCTTTCCTCTGTTGTGTCTTTCTTTCCTTCCTTCTTAAATTGCTGTTGTGTTTCTTATTCTTCATTTTTTATTTATATTTTTTTAGTTTTTTTTGTTGCAGTCTTTCGTCTCATTCATTCTTTCTTTCTTTCTTTCTTTCTTTCTTTCTTTCTTTCTTTCTTTCGCAGTTGTCATAATTTTTTTGTATAATTATTTCCCTAACGTTTTTTTTCTTTACTTTTTTTTTATTAAATTTATCTTTTATTTCTTTCCTTAGTTCTTTCTTCAGTTCCATTATGCTTGTTTTTTTTTTCATATTTCTGCTAAATCGCTTTTTTTCTTTCTCACTTTCATTCTCTCATGTTTCTCTTCTCATCCGGATTTTCTTTTTTTCTTATATTTTATATATTACGTTTTGCCTCCCTTTTTTTCCATTTATATACGTTCTTTATCTATTTATTTATTTATTTATTTATTTGTCCATCTTTTCCTTTATTTTTGTTTTATTCTTCTTTTACTTTCCTTGCTTTAATTTTTCTTCCTTCCATTTTCCTTTCTTCTTTCTTTCGTTTTCTTTCTTTCATTCATTTTTTTCTGTTTTCCTCTTCTATGCTTTTTTATATTCGTCCTTTAATCTTTTTTTTATTTATTTCTTTCTATCCGTTTGCTTTCTGTTTTTGTTGTTTCTTTTTTGACTTCTTTGACTTTTTCTTGTTTCTCTTATTTCTTTCATCATGCTCACCTTTCTCTCCCTCCCTTCCTCCCTTCCTTCTGTTTTTCTTCCTTTCCTCTTTTCTTTCCCTCCTTCCTTCCTACCTTCAAATTCTTCTGTCTTTTCTTTGTTTGTTTGTTTGTTTGTTTCTTTCTTTCTTTCTTTCTTTCTTTCTTTTTTCTTTCCCTCCGTCCTTCCTACCTTCAAATTCTTCTGTCTTTTGTTTGTTTGTTTGTTTCTTTCTTTCTTCCTTTCTTTCCCTCCTTCCTTCCTACCTTCAAATTCTTCTGTCTTTTCTTTGTTTGTTTGTTTGTTTCTTTCTTTCTTTCTTTCTTTCTTTCCCTCCTTCCTTCCTACCTTCCATATTTCTGTCTTTTCTTTGTTTGTTTGTTTGTTTGTTTGTTTGTTTGTTTGTTTCTTTCTTTCTTTCTTTCTTTCTTTCTTTCCTCCTTTCTTTCCATCCTTCCTTCCTACCTTCAATTCTTCTGTCTTTTGTTTGTTTGTTTCTTTCTTTTTTTCTTTCTTTCTTTCTTTCTTTCTTTTACTGCCTTGTTGGTATCGTAATCCTTTTATTTTTCGGATTTACTTTTTTGGCATTTCTCAAATTTTCTTTTTATTTGATTCCTTTTTTGTGTTTTTTCTCGTACCCTTTTTACATTTCTACTTCAGATAAAAAATTATCCCAGTTTAATAAATCTTAATTAAATTAATTTAACTCCCTGAATAGCAATAATTAAAACAACACTCCATATGTATTAATTTCTAAAAAAAAATGTTTTTATATTTTTGGACCTAAAACAAGATTCTGTTGAAAATCACGATCATGTACTGCATATCCTCTAACAATATGTACTGCGTGCCAAATTATTATCGAGATAACTTTTTTCTAATATTTCAAAAACCATCTAATCAATACACAAAATTTTCACACAATGTTGGCAACACTGACCTACGCAATCACTGACATTTTTGTACTGATCTGCGCAATGTAAACAAAACGGCGCCATATTTGTTATCAGCACGGTGATTTGAGCGTGCCAAATTATTAGAAAAGTTTAGTAAAATTCCCAGAATTGAGCAAACAAAACGTTTATTAATGTTGAACGTGAATGTTTATGATCAAAAGAAGCTAATAAATAAGATAATCAAACAAATAATAACAGATACAAACAAAGGCACAGTTTTAAACAAATTAATTGGGAATGTGCTTTCCCAGTTTTGAAATTACTTGAAGAAGTCGACGATAATTGTTAATTGTAGGATGTCATCTGCTGTAATGCCGCGAGATATGTCAAGAATTGCTTCCCACAACTCAGCGTTGTTCCTGAATTGTCGTCCGTTGGCGTACAGACTTCGCTTCATGATGCTCCAAAGGTTTTCGATTTGGTTCCAATACGGAGAATTTGCTGGTCACTTCATTTTTCGAGGTTCATCGAAGCCTAACTGTTTCAAATATTCAGGACTCTTGTGAGCAGCATATGAGGGAGCATTATCTTGCATAAAAACAATGGCCCTTCTGAAGGCAACTCTCTGCCTTTTCATCCACGGTTCAAGATGCACCTTCATAAACGCTATGTATGCATCAGCATTCATTTTGACGCTATCTGGTACTCTCCATGGGCCCACTAATGTGTTTCCAATAATACCACCCCAGATCATTATGCCTCCACCGCCTTGTTGGCGTCTCAAACGCTGATATCGATTCTGTCCGTTCTTTACCCAGACTTTGCACCATCTATCTGGCCCATCAAGTGTTGCTCGAGTTTCCTCAGTGAACAAAACTTTAGAGAAGTCAATCTTCATATTGTCCTCGGCCCATTTCAATCGATTTTGAATGTGATTTCTAGTCAACGGAGGTTTCGATAAAGGTTTGACTGTTGTTGCTATTTCCCTCAGATACCAACATCGAGTACTTTTAGACACAGTAGGAACCCCAATGCGACTGAAAAACCCTTGACTGATAAGTCCAGGGTTCTTCGTGGCCTCTCGTTTAAGTTGTGACATGAGACGACGTCAAATAACCTTCCGCTTGCCTTTATCTGCCTTTTGCGCACTTGTGTAGGGTCAGCGGTGAACTTTTTCATTGTTTGATGACACCTCCCTATCATTTTAGAAATTTCTAGGGTAGATTTACCTTTTGGGAGTTCTGAGGTGATAGTTTTCTTTTCAGCATCACTTAAACTGCTTTTACGACTTTTCACTAAATTCTTATACTATTCTAATAATTTGGCACGCTCAAATCAGCGTGCTGATAACAAATTTCAGTGATTGCGCAGGTCAGTGTTGCCAGCATTGTGTGAAAATTTTGTGGGAATTGATTGGACGGTTTTTTGAAATATTCGAAAAAAGTTATCTCGGTAGTAATTTGGCTCGCAGTATATATATATATATATATATATATATATATATATATATATATATATATGTGTGTGTGTGTGTGTGTGTGTGTGTGTGTGTGTGTGTGTGTATAAATAAAAAGAAAGAACAGTAAGATATATAATCCGGTGTTCTTATAGATATTTTTCTTTTTAAAAATAGTGCTCGATGTAAATTTACAGAGCATTAATGTTATAAATTAATTGATTTAAAATATGTTTTTTTTCGCTACACATTTTTGAAACATGGTTAGAACTGTGTAGCGAAAAAACATATTTTAAATCAATTAATTTATAATATATATATATATATATATATTTGTGTGTGTGTGTGTGTGTGCGTGTGTGTATATATATGTGTGTATTTAAGCAGCAATTTTTCTTTCATGCACGTTTCATTGAATACGACAGACAAGATGCTTTGATTTAGTTTGTTTTTTTTATATACAATTTCTCAAGTGATCTAATATATTTTTTTTCTTTTCGGATGATAAATTATATAAAAACAGTTCAATTGTTCTTTTTATCCGAGCGCTTTTGGCTATACATTTAGCCATTTTCAAGGTTGAAATATATTAACTGTTAATAAGAAATACATTGTTGTATGTATGCATTTATATAATGTTTTCCCTTTCAAAACACGGCCAAGATATTGTGTCCATGTTCATAGTTAATATTATTGAGTGTTGTTAACTAGTAACGACTCTTGCCATCTTATTTCTCTAGAAAGAAAGATTGAGAGAGAAATGGAAAAAGGGTGCAAATAAAGACGAGTAATTAGTGTAAGTTCTAGACTTACACTAATTCTTAGTTTTTATTTTCCCGAATTACAACTAATAAACTTAAGGTCAAAGATAGAGTGCATAAGTACTCAAGCAATAAGCCTTCATTATAGTTAAGGACCGCAATGATAATTTACACAATAATCCCCAATTCGGATTGCTTACCTTTACCGAGAACAATTTAGAAAATTCCGCAAGGCTATACTAGAAAGATCCTGCAAATGCACTAAGATTGCCACGGGAATCCACCAATGGAATAATACAGATGATGCTATCAATTGGTTCTCTAAAATAAAAAGGAAAAACGAATGCACCTTTATGCAATTCGACATTTCAAATTTTCACCCGTCGATCACAGAAGACCAGTTAATGGCAGCTATAAACCTGACCAAAATGTATTGCCCCATCACTGACCAGAATATCAACATCATTAAGTAAACCCAGAAACCTATCCTGTACCGCGATGCTTCTATGATTTCCCCACCAATGATTTTCTATAGTGATGAGGACGTTTGATTTGGCAGAAGCTTGTGAATTGTTTGGCATTTTGCTACAGTGGAGACTTAGCATAAATATCGGCCTGTCCAGAGACGATGAAGTTAGCCGCCTACGTAACACCAACGTACAAGAAACAGATCGACGTAGAAAACATCAAATCTTTCAGGGATCATGGACTAAATATCACCATTAAAACCAATACCAAGGTGATCAACTTTCCGGATTCTATTTTCGACCTAACCAAAGGAAAATACATGACTTATACTAAAGAGCTTTATAACCAAAAACACAATAGCAACTGATCCAACTACCTACCAGGATTTTTAAACAACTTGCACAAATCTGTATAACAATTTGACTCTCAACAATTGTTTAATCTGCAGTTGAGTCAGTTATCTATTTTTTCAAATGGAATAGTTCATGTGCTGGGGAAAATTTTTTGTCTAGGAGTTGAGCTATGAACATCTCCATCCGGGCCTCATATTTTATTTTATAAATTTGCTGTGTGTTGGAAAACAGCAATGGAAAATAGTAATGGCGAAGTGGAGGTCAGATCTAAAATCAGAAACCTGGGGTCGTAATTCCAAACGCCATAATTCAGTCTCGCAAGTTCGAAATCAAATGTATCGGGAGCGGGAATAACTGACCAGTGGCCAATCACCATCCACGACTCGTGGACCTACAACTGCCTACTTCACCCACGAAGTTTAGAGAAAACGTCGCTCTCGGTCAAAGAAGCGTTCTTTTATTGGAGTTAGAAAGGCTGAGGCAAGCTCACAAATTAGCTTATTTCGAGGCCTTACCAAAGCACAGAGAACGTGAAGTCTTTCTCAAGGTGAAACTTGTTTTTCTCCTTCGTCGCCATAACGGGATCGATGCAAGCTTTAAGGCTCAGACATTTTTTTTTTTTTTTTTTTGTAGAGAATTATTTTCATAGCAAGTGTTTCGACATAGACCTGAGGTCAAAACCATTTCCACAATTACTTTCGACTTTGTGATAAACATCAATAGAAACTGAAGCTAAATAACGCTTATATAAAGTTTCTAAAATAAACGTCCTTAGAAAGAAAAAAATATAAGAAGAGTGTTTGTCATTGTCTGATGTGAGAATTTCCACGCTAACTTTATCTCATAGTTTTACTAAATTTCTACACGCACTTTCCCTGGTTTTATTAAAGAAAAACTTAGTTAACACGAAACAAACACTCACGTCTTTCTGAGATGACAGCCTTGTAAAGAGAGACATTCGTCGGGGTGGAAACAAACATGGCTGTAATACGAAACCAACGAAGCAGATGTAAATTGTTAAAATTATAAGTCGACCGAGAAGAAATTTTCGTTCAGTTGTTTGAAACAGAAATAATCAGGGATTTGAACTGGAATGTTTCCACCGTTTTTGTTTGTTTTGTTTTGTTATGTTTTTAACTGAAACTTTTAAAGAAGACTTCAGATCTTTATTGAAATTATGGTTGTTTGTACCACATCGATTAACACATTAATAGTAACAGATGGTTTGCATTAGCGATAAAGTGACAACAAGTCCCTTCTTCAATATTCTATCATTCCATACAATAATCTAGTTCTTTCTAGTAGGGCCCTTGTCTGGCTAGATTCGTTTATTTTGTTTCATGGCATATCAAGAAGATTTTTAGGATAGTGTAACAATATGATTTCTCACAAGATAAGGAGATCATTTCTTTTCTTTTAAGTGCATTTAGTTTTCTGAGTTTCGTCGGAATTTTGTGATCAGTTCATCTTTGAGTAAATTTAAGTATCAGTGTTTTTGAGGGTTTATGTCTACAGCTGCCTTTGAATTGGGAAAAATAACAGTTTTATAAATGATTTAAGATAGTCATAAAAGTAGTCCTTTCAAGATTTGGCCACTCATACGGTTTGGGGGTGGTTCCAAATCTTCCGGAAGACAAGTGGGTGGAAGGGATGAGACTCCAGGATTATCTATATAAGCAGAATGAGGCAGGGAGTCGAAGAAAATGGTTTCAGTCGTTAGAGAAGTAGGT